TATTTCTAATTCTAGATTATTTGGAACAATGTCAACATTTTTATCATTTTTAATTACTTTTCACCTAAAGCTATGTTCACTTCTTGGAATCGACAATGAATGGAATGATATTGGGAGATTGAGAATGAATGAGATTATCTTCTTTACTAAATGAAGGAAATAGAATGAAAGATATAATATATGAACAAAATATCCTTAAATTTACATAATTTTATCTTAACTTTAACAAGAAATAGGATATTAACAAATTATTTAGAAAAGGAAAAAATTACCCAATGATTTAAAATATTTCATAATAAAAATTAGATATTATAAGTTAAGTCAACGGCAATCAATAATGGTCAATGTCGACCAACTAATATTAACATTTATAAATATCTATTTTAATAATCTATTAATTTTATTTAATACCCAAACTTGTCAAAGTATTTTTATATACATAAGAATTTCATATAAATTTAGTAATTACCTATAATAATTTGTTTATTCTAAGTTTACTCTTAGGATGCTTTTCTTAAATGAATGTTGAATTATTGAGAATGTCATATTAATGGAAAAATAAATTACCTTGAGGGTGCGTTTGGTTCAGGGGATGTTGGATTACTGAAAAGTTATATTACTTTGAAGATTACTGGAAAGTTAGATTACCTTGAAAATTACTAGAATCTTCAAGAAAATGTGTTTGGTTAGTTAGTAGGTATGTTATATTTGGTTGGAAGGAATAAATTGGTGTGTATGTTATTTAAATTACTGAATTGTCATTTAATTAAATATTATTATTATATTATTTTTTAATATTGATTATTATTTAGATTATTATAACCCCCCTGCATTTAAAAACTTAGCAAAAACAACACCATAATAAAAGTTTAGAAAATTAACAAAGCACCCCCACCAACTCAGCCACTGCCGGCCGCCAGCAACCACCGTAGGCCGTTGACAACAGACAACTTAACGACGCACGGAAGGCAGGAAATGGCCTTCGTGCACCGTATGGCCATTTCCGGCCAGATATTTGGTCAGAAACGGCCATATCAGCGCATGGCCACCATTTCCGGCCTTTCGTGTGCCATTCCAGCAGTGGTTGCCAGCAGCAGGTGGGTAGGGGTGGTGGCTAGGGTGGGCTGCAATTTGTTTTGAATTCAAGGGTAATTTTGTCCAAAAAGTTAATTAATTGGGGTGAAATAGTAAAAGTCATATTCATGTAAATAAACTTAAAAATAAGGGCATTATTGTCCTAAAATTTTATGAATAAGGGATAGAATTGTAACAAAAAAAAGATTACCTTGGTAATCTTAAAATACCTAAGAAAATGGAGGTAATCAGATTACCTCCAATATTACCAACAGTAACTACTATTGGTATTTGAAGATTATCGGAATTTTATATTACTTGACAACCAAACGTGGTAGTCAAGTAATATAAGATGACATAACTCCAGTAATTCCACATTACCCCCAACCAAACGCCCCCTGAAGATTATTGTCAATGTTTAGGGAAATGTGTTTGGTTAAGTTAGAATAAATTGGTGGGTATGTTATATAGATTACTAAATTGCTATCCTTTATAGATATTAATATAATATTATTTTTTAAATCATTTCTTTTAACCCCCTACATTTGAGATTTTGCTAAAACACCTCAGCTATATAAAAGTTTAATTTCTAACAAAATCACCCCCACCTACCCCAAGTCACTACCGGTTGTGGGCAGTTGCTGGAACAACGCATGATAGGCTGTATATGGCCGATCGTGTGCCAATATGACCGTTTTCGGCCAGATCAACAGTGGATCTGACATTTTCCGACTATATCTATGACCAGATCTGACTATTAACAACGACCAGATTTTGGCCATCGTTGTCGACTAGTTCTCTAGCCGTAAATATAGTCGGAAACGGCCAAATCAATGCACGATAGACCAGATTCAGCCGATAGTGCACTGTTTCAGCCAGGTCGGCCTATGGTGATGGTCTTGGGTGACTTGCAATTTGTTTTAAATACAAGGGCATTATTGTTCAAAAACTTAATTGATTAGGGTAAAATTGTGATACAGGTTTATGTAAATTAATTTCAAAATAAGGGCATTATTGTCCAAAAATTTATTAATAAAGGATAAAACTGTAACAAAATTAACATTGCTAAGTAATCTTAAGATAATTAAGAAAATGGAGGTCATCAGATTATCACTTATATTACCAACAATAATTATTCTTGGTTTTGGAAGATTATTAGAATCTTATATTACTTGATAACCAAACATGATAATTTGATAATATAAGATGATATTACCTTAATAATGAGAGCTAACCTCCAACCAAACACCCCCTCAGGGTGCGTTTGGTTAGGAGTTTGGGAAGATTACTCCTATAATCTATCTTTTATTACGGGTATTAAGTTGTTGGTTGTCAAGTGATAAGAAATTATGGTAATCTCTCATTGCCAATAGTTGTTACTGTTGGTAATATAGTGGGTCATTAGATTACTTTCTCAACAGGTGTTATTAGAAGAGTACTAGGGTAATCCACTATTCATACCAATTTTACCCGTAATTAAAAAACACTTCGGACATAAATGTCCTCATATATCTACCAAATAACAATTACCCAATTGTGCAAAATGACTTCTATAACCTCCAAATTTTTTTTCGATAGAAATGCCCCTACTATTTATATGAATGCCACCCAAAATATTTACCACTGCAGATGACTGCGGCCACTCCACTGTTGCCTGCCATCAATAGTCGTCGAAACGGCGTACAATGGGTCAGATCTAGGTGATTGTGTGTCGGTATGTTCGTTTTCGGCTAGATTGAATGCCGAAAACAGCCAGATGGCCTTGGATCTAGCCAAAAATGGCCAGATCCACGACCATCTAGCCGTTTTCGGCTTTCGATTTGGCCAACAACGATCAGATCGGTGCACAATCGACCAAATCCGATCGGTCATACGCTCCGGTGATTGCCGGAGGAGCCTATCGGTGGTGGCCGACGGCCAGCAATTGTCTGCACTAGCTAGGGGCATTTTGTTAAAATTTAAACTTTTGTTGTTGGGGTGTTTTAGTAAATTCTTAAATGTAGGGGTTAAAAGTAATCTATCTAAATAATAATAATAATATTATTATTATTATAAAAAAAGGAAGGACAATTCAGTAAAAACCTCTATTGATAATATTTTATCCTTCCCAACCAAACATTTTAATTATTTATATCCACCAATCTAACCAAACATATTGATATAAAATTCTTCCATAATCTTCAAGGTAATCTATCTCATTGGTAATCCTACTTTTTCAGTAGTAAAATATTCCCCGAACCAAATGCACCCTTATAATTACAGTATAATAATATTTACTCATTTCTAAAAAATAGTAACAAAAGAAACAGATTGAGGGGGCATTTGGATTATATAATGTTTTATAATGGGGGTATATTATATTAACGGAAAAAAAATTATCTTGAAGATTACTGGGAATATTTAAAAAATATGTTTGGTTGGTTCGAATAAATTGGTGAATAATATGTTTGGTTGGGAGGATAAATAGATGGGTATATTATATAAATTACTAAATTGCCTTCCTTTTTAAATATTAATATAATAGGATTTTTTATTATTATTTTTTGAATCATTTCTTTTAACCTTCTACATTTGAAATTTTGCTAAAATAATCCAACCATATAAAACTTTAATTTTGTAGCAAAATCACCTCCACCCACCCCAAGCCAATGCCCGCAGCCAGCCATCACTACTGATAGTCGACAGAATGATGTACGACTGGCCGCATATGGCCGACTGTGCACCGGCAAAGTCAGAAATGGCCATGGATCACAAATCCATGGCCTTTTCAAGGCCAAAGATGTGGATGTGAAACGACCACAAATTGGGTAGTGAAAAGGCTAGATCTTTGGTCGTGAAATGTCATAACCAAAGATCTGGCATTTTCACGGCCATAGAAACGCTAGATCTAGTAGTTTTCAGCCATGGATATGTGATCCATGGCCGAAAAAGGCCTTATTGGCACACGACCGGCCAGATCCCACCGGTCGTGCACCATTACGGCGACTGACACTGGTGGCCGACGATGGTGAGTCATGGTCGACGGTGGTCTTGGATGGCTAGGGGTATTTTGTTAACTTTTAAACTATTTTGTGGCTGTGATGTTTTAGCTAATTTCTCAAATGTAGGAGGGCTGGGTAATTGTTATTTGGTAGACATTTGAGGGTAATTATGTCCAAAATAGATTTTAATTAAGGGCAAAATAGGAAGAAAAATCATATTACCCTGATAATGTTTTAATAACAGTCTCTAGCAAGGTAATAAGATTACCCCCATATTACTAACAGCAACCACTATTTGCAATAAAAGATTATTGTAATATTTTATTACTTGCAAACCAAACACATGAATCTTACAAAATAAACTAATATTACCCCCGTTATCTTATTTACCCTCGATCCAAACGGCATTGAAAGGTAAAAGTAGCATCTTAGTCAAAATACTTGCCGGAAAAGGCATCAATTTAACTGATATCACTAGAAAAACAAGTGTTAAATGTTTTAATAGTGAGGAAACGTGGTTTTTAAATCATGCTATTTATACAGATGTTGAGCTTGAGTAAGCATACTCTTCTGTACTTAATGATATAATCCATTGGAATACGTCAAATTGACAAATGAAATTCGACTCATAGGCATTTGACCCAACACTAATTGCCCTCCAATAATAATCATGTTCTAAGGCCAGGTTTGGAAGCTAGTTTTGAAAAAGCCGGCTATAAGAAGTCCCAGTTGCATGCAACAAATTATCACAAGCCTTAACCAAAAAAACAAATATGGCATTTGAATACTTCAACTTATCACTTGTGCAAACAACTGATAATAGATTAGCCGGCATTTGGATTTTGATAATATCTAAGTTGAGCTCTCTCTCTTTATATCTATATATATTTGAAGAACATGAATCCTACTGCTAAGTGACTTCAGCAGCTTCAATTTTTAATTGCAATGAAGAGAGTTGCTCAAGTTATCACTCTTCTCTTTTTCATTAACTTTGCTTTGGTGCACGGAGCCACCAACACCAAGGTAGTAAATGGAATTGGTATTAACCACTAGTAGTACTAATGTTATTATCAAATTAATTCTAATTGTTGGTAATGTTATTGGTAAATTCGCAGCATTACATAGTTTACATGGGAAAACATTCTCTCCCCAACTCAGAATTTGTCACCACTGCCAACTGCTATTTACTTGCTTCAGTTACTGGAAGGTAATGCCTATAAACTTACAAGGTGATGAATTAATAATTCATTGGCACTATTCTTAACCCAGAAATTATTGGATATTCTGTTGCTAAAACTTGTGTTGAATCATTTCAGTTTACATGGAGCACAAAAAGTGGCACTTCATCATTATACTAAAAGCTTCAGAGGTTTCTCAGCAATGCTTACACCACAAGAAGCTCAACAACTTGCCCGTATTGCAATTTTAACCCTACTCACCTTTGACTCTTCTATGAATACTCGTAATTTCGGTATAAAGATTATAGGAAAACAACAAAGCCAAACTTGAGTGACATGGTTGTTACAGTTTCATGATCCCATATTACAAATTTGAACAAAGAGAGCTGAAATCTTCGAGGAAATATTACAGGTTCAAAAGACAAATGAATGCAATACATAGCATAGATGTGGTATACATTCTCTAATTTGTATCACTTCTTTTTTGCAGAAAAAGACGCAGTTGTTTCTGTATTCGAGAGCCGAATGAACCCAGTTCACACCACACGTTCATGGGACTTCTTAGACATAGACTCCATTAACCAATATAATCAATTACCTATGAACTTGAAATCTGACGTTGTTATTGGTGTCATCGACTCCGGTAATTCTTCATATAGTTCTGATCTTGTCTTCCTTGCTATGCCATCATAACACTGTAGTTACATCATCTACACTTACTTTATTTTGCAGGAGTTTGGCCTGAGTCGGAGAGCTTCAATGACAACGAATTAGGTCCTGTGCCCGAAAAATTCAAGGGACAATGCGTTCCTGGAGACAATTTTACATTGACCAACTGCAACAGGTACCTAGCATTTTATCGAGCAATAAATAAATAAAGTAAATTATTAAGTGGTCAATACTTTCTAGTGAAACTTCTTTGTGGATTTCACCACACTAAAGACATGATCATATGCACTCAACATACACAATGAATGCAAGCTAACCAAGAATCCAAAATGTCGCTTCAAATGGAAATTTCAGGAAAATTATAGGTGCACGGTTCTATTCGAAAGCGTTTGAAGCAGAAAATGGTCCTCTTGAATCTTCCAACAGCATCTTTTTCCGTTCACCTCGGGACAGTGATGGGCATGGAACCCACACTGCCTCAACCATAGCTGGACATATGATACGAAACGTCAGTTTATTTGGTATGGCTAGAGGAATTGCAAGAGGTGGTGCACCAAATGCGAGACTGGCCATTTACAAGGCTTGTTGGTTTAACCTATGTAGTGATGCTGATATTCTTTCTGCCATGGATGATGCAATTAATGATGGCGTTGATATCTTATCACTTTCCCTCGGCCCTGTTCCTCCCGAACCCAGTTACTTTGAAAATGCAATATCAGTTGGAGCTTTCCATGCATTCCAGGAAGGAATTCTCATTTCTGCTTCAGCTGGAAACTCTTTTTTCCCAAAAACTGCAACCAATGTTGCTCCCTGGATCCTCACTGTCGCTGCAAGCTCCGTTGACAGGCAATTTAACACAAATATATATCTTGGAAATTCAAAAATTTTGAAGGTAATCTTTTCTAATATATTCCACACTACCTGCCTCCTCTACTCACCCCCTTCTCTTTAAAGGGGAAAAGTTACTGCTGAAAAAAGGTTAAAAAACTAGGAACTTCTGTGCTTTCAGGGCTTTTCTTTAAATCCTTTGCAAATGGGAACTTTTTATGGTTTAATAGCTGGGAGTGCTGCAGCTGCCCCGGGAGTTCCAGCAGCGAATGCAAGGTATCTTCTACAGCTGATGGAATGAACAATATATCAATGCTTGTTACAGACATAGTCGTCACATTCAGAAGTACTAATTATATTGCATTAATGTTATGAAATTTTGGAATTTAATTTTATAAAGTTACCCCTCAAAATAAATACGGCATCAATATACAATATTATAAATATGAGTTGTAGTCATCGTAGATATCACAAATGGCATGCGTATGGCACTGCTAGCTCAGCAGTAGTTAGCCAGATGGTCTATACCTGACCTCCAAGAAAAGTCAGCATTCACATGCTCTAAAAGCTTTGGTGTTACATTGTGTATCAGCATTTGCAAGAACAATACACTAGACCCAACCTTAGTCAAGGGGAAGATAGTGGTGTGCACATTGGAGGAAGTTACTGATGACAGAAGAGAAAAGGCCATATTTGTAAGACAAGGTGGTGGTGTTGGAATGATACTCATTGATCCATTTGCCAAAGATGTTGGCTTTCAGTTTGTAATCCCAGGAACCCTAATTGGTCAAGAAGAAGCACATGAACTTCAAGCATATATGACTATGGAAAAGTGAGTTTTTGAGATTCCCATGCTTGAAGAACATAAGTACTTTAAAAAATTATATTCGCAGTGTCAATATTGAAAAAAAGAAAATTGAATAATTATCATTTTATAAAAACTTTGGCTGTTACAGAAATCCAGTAGCCAGAATCTATCCAACACAGACAGTTCTGAAAACCAAACCTGCACCACAAGTGGCTGTGTTTTCCTCAAGGGGACCAAATATTATTACGTCAGATATCATTAAAGTAAGTTCTACTAAATTTTCCAGTTTATCTTTCGACACATACATTGCAATAAACCTCAAAGTTTAATATTAATAATGGCATGGGGAAAATGAAAAGAAAGTGTTAGAGCTATAGAATGAAAGAAGTTAATCGAACAGTCCATGAAAATAGTACCTTACTATTTACAATGCAATTACAGCCAGATGTTACTGGACCTGGACTGAATATCTTGGCCGCATGGTCTCCAGTAGCAACTGAAGTCACAGGTGAACGATCTGTTAGTTACAATATAATCTCGGGGACCTCCATGTCCTGCCCACATGTTTCCGCTGTTGCAGCAATTATAAAATCATACCGACCTTCTTGGAGCCCAGCAGCCATAATGTCTGCAATAATGACAACAGGTTAGTTGCTTCAACAATAAAAAGTCATCAGAATATTTTCTATTTATTTAACCACAAACTGAATCTCCTTTCAATTCATTTTGCTGTTACAGCTACAGTCCTAGATAACAACAACCAACTTATTGGAAGAGATCCAAATGGTACTGAGGCCACACCTTTTGACTATGGATCTGGACACATAAACCCATTGGCAGCTATAAATCCTGGATTAATTTATGACTTTGATTCCCACAACATCATCAATTTTCTCTGCAGCACAGGTGCAAGCCCTGCACAACTGAAAAATCTCACAGGAGAGATAATTCATTGCCAAAATCCTCCCACATCCTCCCACAATTTTAACTACCCCTCAATAGGCGTTTCCAACATGAATGGAAGTTTATCTATTTATAGAATAGTTACATATTTTGGCGAAGGCCCAACAGTATATGTTGCACAAATAAATCACCCAACTGGTGTAAATGTCAGTGTTACACCTGCTAAACTGAAGTTCACAACAACTGGGGAGAAGATGTCTTTCAGGATTGATTTCATACCTTTTGAGAAAACTGATGGAAGTTTTGTGTTTGGTGATTTGACATGGAGCAATGGCATCCATAGAGTCAGGAGTCCTCTTGCTTTGAATGTTCTTTCCCTGTAGGAAAAAGTGTTTTGATATATATTTTGAATTCAAAAGAAATTAGACTTTGTCTAGTGGGTTACACCGTCATGGATCTATATGCATCCACAGCTGAAAGGGTTTAATATGAATACAGCCTGTACTGTACAAGCAAACCATATGATTTTCCAAAAATTTCTCCTCTTCACTTATCCTTCATTTGGAGGAAATCAAACGTTCATGCTCAAGCTATTCATAATTTGGTGGTTTTGGTTGGAAAGATCTATTTAATCAACTCCTAAAACATTACCATATGATTTTCAATTTTGAGCATACTGTAAATTGTTATGCTGTTTTTCATTGACTCGATTTTCTATCATTTTACAAAAACCTTTCCAATGTCAGAGAGGTTTAACACAGAGAAATGCTCCATTCAATGTAACAACAGTCAATTCCATAGAAACTGAAAATTTGGTAATGTATATAATTTAATCCTCAGATATATCTTACAAAAATAATTTTTCTGCAAGTTATAACCTTCATTCTAAAATTTGAATGCCAGAAACTTTAAGAACCAACTCATTTAATTTCAACATCTCAATCATATCAAGATTGACACCTGAGTGCTTTATGCTAATGTCATGGGAAATCTGGCTATAACTGTGGAGCAAAACGCATACTGCAACTCAAAAACCGAAAATTGGCAGGGAAGCATCACAAATAAGATATAGATGAAACCAAATGAATCCAGTTGATATAATTTGTGTAGAAGCAGAACAAAAAACCGCAGGTAAGCCTTTGTATTACACAACTGGAAGTCATGTCAGATAAAATTTCATTTTTTAAGTAAGGCAGAGATAAAATCAAATATCTTCATATATTAAGGAACCTAAATGCATTAACAGAATGAGATAATATACCACAGAAGAATCAAACAGAAAACTTCCGCATTTACGATATTAATCCACAAATGCCTCTGAAGCAGCATGTGTTTGATGAAACTTGGAAGAAATCATCCATTGTGACAATTTATCAACCAATCAATGTGAGTCAAGGTCCCTTTGGCAGCAGTTAAGACCTACAAAACCTTGGCAGCTTTCCACTGATGTAATCAAACTTTATAATTTGATGTTATCCAATTTCAATACATCTTCTTCTTGGAATGAACAACAAACAAGTTTATACTGACTATGATATCAGATCCTGACTATCCATCAAGCTTCTTGATGAACCTTTGCTAATTAAATTGGCAAATACCTGATTTAAATTGTGTAACCCTCTTTGCATCTCTTCCAAATGATAAGTAGTATGCAGTACATGGAAGTACTCCTTTGACAGACAAGAATCATTCCACGACTGCTAGACTGTCACCAATAGTCCCCACAAGAGCAAAAACCTTCCTTAAAGTGGTGAAATCGGTTTGTATCTCTAACAACAATCTCTCTCCCTTCAATATTTGATATTAACTTAATGACATTATGACAGTCTCCACAGACTCTAAGGTTCTTAACAATCTGTAAAGGAACCCCTGCAGGGGTGGTAACCAATCCAAAAGCAATGGCCAACCTCTCGCTGTGTTGAGAAAGAATGGCTTCTTTGTGTTCATCATCAATGTCCTGAAGCACATAATTTAAATCAGGCTGATAACCTGCATCCTTTAATCGGGTACTTAACTCCTCAAGTTTAGAATAAATTCGACCCGACATTGGATGTGAAAGATCACCAGCCAAGAATGAGTAGGTTTTGTTCTTTACCTCAATCCAGCTGTAACCAGCTTCTTTTTTCACTTTTCTGTCATCCATTAATTTCCTCGTTTTAGCTCTCTCCTGCCAATGTCCTGCTGCAGCATACAAATTGGAGAGCAATACATATGCTGCTGAGTCTTCTGGCTGAAGTGAAATGAGCTTTTCCCCAGCAAGTTTTCCCAGATCTAAATTACGGTGAACACAGGAAGCAGCCAAGATAGTTCGCCACACAGTTGCGCCTGCAGCAAATGGCATTGTGTTGATGATATTCAAGGCTTTTTCAAGCATTCCAGCTCGGCTATATAGATCAACCATGCAAGAATAGTGCTCCATTGTCAGATTAATGCGGTGATCTTTTACCATGATATCGAAATATAGTTGACCTTCATCCACAAGTCCAGCATGAGTGCAGGCAGTAATGACACCAATGAATGTTATACCATCCATTTCCAAGTTCTGTCGTTGCATTTCCCTAAATACCTCAAGAGCCTTCTTCCCATCACCATGCTGAGCATATCCGGAAATCATTGAGTTCCATGACACCAAGTCTCTCTCGCCTTGCCTCTTGAAAACTTCATTTGCACTCTCAATATTCCCCTTCTTTGCATACATGGTAACAAGAGCACTACTGACACATAAAGCATTATTCAGCCTTGATTTGATTGAGTACGCATGAAATTGCTTCCCCTGTTCCACTGCTGCTATAGGTGCAGCACAGGCATTTATGACACTAGAAAAGGTAAACTCATTAGGTTTAACTACTTCAGTTGCAATATTTTTGAATAGATTAACAGCTCCTTCAGTGTCTCCTATTTGAGCATATCCAGCTAGCATGGCTGACCATGCCACAATGTCCTTCTCATCAATTAGTTCAAAAACTTTTGCAGCTTCATTGATGTTTCCTAACTTAACATAAGCATCTAAAAGGGCAGTTCCAACAGAAGATGATTTCTCATAATTAGTTTTGATGACTTGTGCATGTACTTGAAAAGGTGAAACAACAGGCTGAGCTGTCAGAATTACAGAATAAGTAAAATGGTTTGGTCTGACACCTTCACTGTTCATTTGGCGAAAAAAGTTCACAGCTTGTTCAGTTCCACCATTCTGCAAATAGCCAGTAATCATGGCAGTCCATGAGACCACATTTCTAGTTTCATGCATCGCTGAGAATATTTTACTGGCATATTCCATTTCACTGCACTTACTGTAAGCAACCATGAGTACTGTTCTAATGTTGTGATTAAATCCAATCCCATTCTTCAAGACCTGAGAATGAAGCTGCTGCAAGAATGCCAATTTCTTAAGATTAGCACATAACTTAATAACAGAGGCAAAAGTTGACTGAGTCAGGTTTGCACCTGCAAGCCCCATATGGTGAAATATTTTAAAAGCTTCCATATCAAGCCCATTAGTAATGTAACCTGCAACCATACAATTCCAAGTAACCGAATCCCTAACCACCATATCATCAAAAACAAGCTTAGCATATCTAACCATCTTTGACTTAAAGTACATACTAATCAAAGCATTGCAGACAGAGGTAACCGCTTCAAATCCATTCTTTATAACAGTGGTATGAACTTGAACTCCTTTCTCAACCATCCCCTCATCTGCTAAAGCTCCAAGAACAGTCGCAAAGGTAAACGGATTAGGCTTTATACCCTCAACCCGCATTCTAAGAAACAACTCTAGCACACTCCCATTCATTCCATTGCACGCATAACCTGTTAACAACGAAGTCCAAGATATCACATTCCTCTCATTCATCTCATCAAAAACTCTCCTTCCATCTTCAACATGATCCGTCTTCATATACATATCTACGAGGGAAGTACCTACACTAACATCCTCCAAAAGACCAGACTTAACACACTCAGAGTGCACTTGTCTACCAGTAACATGGTCAAACAAACATCCACAAACCTTCAACACGCAAGACAGGGTGGACCCATCAACAGGTAAACCCGAACGATGAATACCCAGAAAGAGATTAAGTGCCTGATGGTTGAGGTTATCACGAGAGTACCCAAAAAGCAGGTGGTTGTATTCCGCCACATCTTTTTGGGGACTTCTGTCGAACGGGTGGTGTTGCAGTCTGAGAGGGTCGAATTTGGAGACGTCTGGAGGGATTTGAGGATTTAAGTGAGAATGAAATGATGCTAATTTAAGAATGTTGAAAGGTTGCTTTGTTGATCTTAGAATCATGATTTCTTTTTAGTTAAAGAATGTTAATTCAACAGTTACTGCACTCGCATCTGTTTGTAATCGACGAGAGCGCGGGAGAGAGAAAGAAGAAGACTTGAAAATGTTTGATAAAAAAAAAACAAAATTATTGTGCCAAGACCAATGTACTAACTACTAAACATGAAATATTATAATAAGATTTATTTTATTTATTCTTATATTTTCCAAATTATATGTTTATCTTATTTACTATTGTTATGTTATTCACTTAGCCACTATTTTATTTATATCTTAATATTAACTTTTAAGATAATTTTTAGGATGTGTAATATTGATTAATTCAATAATATTATTTACACAAAAATAATTAAAATAATCTTCATTAAATATATATATATATAAAAAAAAACCAATAAAAGGTATAGCATGAGTAGTATCCTTGAACCTTTCTAATTTTGGTTTTGGTTTTGGGCACATGGCCTTGTTGAGGAAAAATGGAAATGATAAATTAACATAAAAAGCAACACATAGTTTTGTTTGTGGTTCAACAAATGAAGTCATTCAAAAAAAGGGCAAACAAAATCCCTAAACACAACTTAACATTATTTCAATCTAATCTAACATTCTCTCTTCCTTTGTCCTTTTCATATCCATTTCCAATTCTTCCAAAAACTTCTAACCCTACCCTTCTTTGTCTTTTACTTTGCCCTTACAAATTTATTAATTAATTGAAAATTTCTTTTTCTACTTTTTCTTTTTTGTTTTTATTTTCTTAAGTTCTATTCTAAGCAACCTCACAATCTGCTAGGACTTGGAGATAGATTTTGACCGTTAAATAACTTAGATCTTCCTCTTTTCTTTAACCCCAATTAGGGTTTAACATTTTTTTTTTTTAAATTTCAATTTAGGGCTTTTCTTGTACCAATTTGTGTACCCATTAAGCTTCAATTGTTTTTCTTCTTTCAAGACTCTTAATTCGCTTACTGGGTTACTGGGTTTTCGAGGAAAAGAGGTAAAGATTGTTCTTTTAACACTGTGTGTTCTTGTATATAGTTGGGTTTATCGTCATTGATCCATCTCTTTTCCTTATGCAGGAAAAATATGAACTTGTGTATTCTTTTGGTGGGTTTTGAAGAAACTATTTAGAGGAAGCTGGTTGAGTTAGTTTTTCGAAGAGAAACGCAAGATGATTGCGGAGAAACCCGGTTGGGTTAGGCATGAGGGAATGCAAATTTTCTCCATTGATATTCAACCTGGGGGGCTCAGGTTTGCTACTGGTGGAGGTGACCACAAGGTATATTTACTTCTCATTACTCTGCATGTTCTATTTGGTTCCTAGTGAACTGCACAATGCGAATACCGAGCATTTTAGATGTGTTTAAACGGAAAATTTTGTTTCTATTCAAAGTTCTGTTCTCTTTTCTTTACTTATTCCACTATACGGATGTTTTAAGTGAAGCTTTATTTATTAGCTCTTCTTCCACTGTGATTTGATATTGCTAGAATTTGTGCTACACATTATGTTTTTTCTTCATTGATTATTGCTATGGGCTCATTGGGGTGCAATGTGTTAATTTTTATATGTGTGTTTCTTCTGTTTCAAAACTCTTGAAGATCTGTTACTCTATGTGGCAATTTTGTGTGGCAGTGGCATCTTTTGTATGTATTGTTATAATCCAGTGCTGCTACATACTAGAGCCAGCATAAAGTTGACATTGTAGGTGGAGCTGATGATAATGTTGGTTGAATCAGTGGTGCATATTCATGGTTCAATTTTTAAATTTTAACATATTGCAACAATAATTTTAGCAGTATAAAATCTTTAGTACTTGCAACTGTATGGAGCTATGGATTGTTAATATAACTTTTCTAGTTAATCGCGAGCGACTGGGTTCCACTCTCATACATGATTCCTGAAGGCTTTCGATGTAAATTTGTTCAGTTACATTGCTTCAATGGCTTTGATTTGCAGAGCAGTTGCTATATACATAAATTTTTTAATTGTTATTCTCAAGCATGATTACTATTTTTCTCCTTCATTACTTGCAGGTTCGAATTTGGAACTTGAAGTCTGCTGGCAGGAGTTTGGAAAATGATGAATCAACACACAGGCTTCTTGCAACCCTCCGTGATCATTTTGGGTCAGTCAACTGTGTTAGGTGGGCTAAGCATGGTCGGTATATTGCATCAGGGTCTGATGATCAGGTGATTTTGGTTCATGAGAGGAAACCTGGTTCTGGAACTACTGAGTTTGGTAGTGGAGAGCCCCCAGATATTGAGAACTGGAAAGTTGCTATGACTTTGAGAGGACACACTGCCGATGTGGTAATTAAATTGATGCTATTGTGGTGATGTTTTGACTTCAAATAAAAGCAAAATTGTCCATTCTCCTGTTTTTGAATTGCGTTTATTTTGGTCACTTTTTTCCACTAACGAATTCTTTTGTTATCAAAATACCTGTTTTTGCATATAAAGAGAACAAAACAAATATATAAACAGATTAAAGTGAAAGATTTAGCTTAACATGTCACTTGAATGTGTTAATTTGAGATAATAATTGCTAATAGTTCCTCTGGTACTGTCTAACTGGGGAACTATATTTTCATGCGTAAAGTAGGTGGATCTTAATTGGTCTCCTGATGACTCAATACTGGCTAGTGGAAGTTTAGACAACACCATCCACATATGGAATATGAGCAATGGCATTTGTACTGCTGTTCTTAGGGGTCATTCAAGCCTGGTTAAAGGAGTTACTTGGGATCCCATTGGTTCCTTCATAGCAAGTCAATCTGATGATAAGACTGTCATTATATGGCGAACAAGTGACTGGAGTCTTGCTCACAGAACAGATGGCCACTGGGCAAAATCAGTATGTTCTTAATTGTCCAATTTCCTTTCTTTCTGAGTTTTGGTTTTGTTTCTAATGGGAGTGTGTCCTTTTCAGCTTGGATCTACGTTTTTTAGACGGCTTGGATGGTCTCCCTGTGGCCATTTCATAACAACCACTCATGGTTTCCAGAAGCCAAGGCATTCTGCACCTGTTCTAGAGAGGGGGGAGTGGGCAGCAACATTTGACTTCCTAGGACATAATGCCCCAATTATAGTGGTGAAGTTTAATCATTCAATGTTCAGGAGGAATTCTGCCAATTCACAGGAAGTGAAAGCTGCACCTGTTGGGTGGACAAATGGGACATCTAAGATTGGAGGCAAAGAATCTCAGCCGTATAATGTTATTGCAATTGGAAGTCAGGATCGCACTATTACTGTATGGACGACTGCAAGTCCTCGCCCTCTCTTTGTAGCCAAGCATTTTTTTTCTCAAAGTGTTGTGGATTTATCCTGGTAAATTTATAATGTTCTGGCACGAGAGAACATTAGGTTATTGATTTGTGTCTTCCATTTCAATTTTGACATTTATGTTTTTGCATCCAATGTCTCTTTTTTTCCTTCTCATAAATTGTTCGTTTCCAAATTCTTGAAACAGGAGTCCTGATGGGTATTCACTTTTTGCCTGTTCCTTAGACGGAACAGTTGCTACTTTCCACTTTGAGGCAAAAGAACTGGGTCATAGACTGAGTGATACTGAACTTGATGAGTTAAAGCGGAGTCGTTATGGTGATGTCAGAGGTCGACAGGCAAATCTAGTAGAGAGTCCGGCACAGTTATTGCTTGAAGCAGCCTCAACTAAGCAAAACACAACTAAAAAAGTGGTTTCAGATGTTCAGCCAATTCAGACACCTTCAAAGTCTACTGTCAATGTAGAGGTTACCACAAAGACTTCTGAGCCTCAGGTTGATGATGGGAAGAAAAGTGGGGCAGCTGCTGGTGATGGTGGGTTAAATAAAGTGGCAACTTCAGGCCGAATTTCCAGTCCAGTAAAACAAAGAGAATACAGACGCCCTGATGGCAGAAAAAGGATCATTCCAGAAGCAGTGGGAGTGCCTGTTCAGCAGGAAAATATTACTGGTGGTGCGGCATCTCAAACGCTGGAGTTCCCTTCTGTGCCATGTGATAACAGAAAGCATAATGGGGTGGTTCCAGCGGATGGTGGTACGAGAGAAGTTGTGAGGGGAACACTTGGCAGAAGCTCCGACATAAAGGAGCGTACTGGAGTTACTGCCAAGGCTAGTGTTTCTGAGAGCCTGGTTATTGAGAAGGTTCTGGTATCTGCGGGCGGAGATGGAAGTGTTAATGTGGAACAATCTGGGAGTGCAAAGGCTTCTGGTTCTTTGGCTGCTAGCAGTACAACTCTTTCTATTAGGGTATTTGATAAGAAAGAAGTGGTAGATACTATACCAGTTTGCTTGGAAGCTCGTCCTAGAGAGCATGCTGTAAATGATATTGTTGGAATGGGGAATACATGTATGATGAAAGAAACAGAAGTTGTTTGCACAAGAGGAACCCAAATTCTTTGGTCTGATAGGATTACTGGGAAAGTCACTGTTTTAGCTGGAAATGCTAACTTCTGGGCTGTTGGGTGTGAAGATGGTTGCCTGCAGGTAAGTTAATACCAGTTAATCCAACCTTTGCTTGTTAAATTTTTGTAACTGTCTGCTTAACATGGCCATTGGCTTATAAGTTAAAGATGCTCTCTCAATATAGTTAAGTCATAATACTTTGGTTTTTGCTCATCTCATATCGCTGTTGTGAAAATTTATCTTGATTGATTTTGGTTTTTATCACTTCTATATAAATTTCTGATGCCATTGTCAAACATTTTGTTCTAGTTATTGATGTTTGTGAATTTCCACAAGGAATCTGTAGTTTTTATGCCTAGTCTTTTAAATTTTATGTGAATTTGGATTGAATACTGCGAATCTAATTTGTATTTAGATTAAAAAATAATGTGTATCTTCTGAAGAATGGTTATGCCATTGTTTAGAATTCTAAAGTTAGTCAAGCATCCAAATGTACATGTGTAGATGAAACTCTTAAGAAACAATTTACTGTAGTTTTGGCATATGGTTGCCAATGTAATATATAGCTGCACAACTTGATATTAGTAAGATAAATGTGAGAGGCAGGGACCATTCTCAATGAAGAGTTATTTTTTAATTTTATTTTTCTGTATGAATATTCTAATATGCTA